TTAATACTTGTGAGTGCAAAAATAAATGTTGTACAGAAATAGGTTACTTTTATTCAAATTAGGTAGAAAATATAATGCACAGTAAGAACTTCGTTTCTTAACGCAGTTGCATACTTCGAAAGATATCTATTAAGTAAACTGCTATTAAGTTAAACTATTATAAAATGTTCCTTTACGATATTCTGTAGAATGTGTGAAAAGTAACTGCGTGTAGAAGAAGCTAAGAGGAAATAGTATTTAAAATGGTACTAAATTTCTTCGAGTGAACCATTTGCATAATTTCTTGTAAAACCAGCTATGCGTTTAATTCTCTCCAATTAGTTAAAATATCACTATCTTTGTAGACTAGTAAAATTATTAGTTTCTCATTTAAGAGAACCATGAATGCAGGTGACATGTAAAATAAGGGGATACATACGCTTATCAAGCGCTTCAGCAGTAAATATATCATTACCTACGCATATTTTAAACTGGCATAATAATAGCTCTAGTTAACATTTAAAATTTATTTATATATATGATAATGAGACAATATAAGAAGGGGACGATAATAAAGATAAACGCAAGTACAAGAAAAAAAAACTGTATAGCGTCCTGGACTTCACATATTGTTTTGCTGAACATGTTTAAACTTACTTCGCGAATTCCTAAGTGTAATAAGATATAATAGATTATAGTCAGTGATATATATATTTCTCATTCAATCAACCCACATTAGGCCTAGCGTGCTTTACACTTTTTTAAATTTGTGACAAGGAAAAATGCATAAAAACTCAAAACATCTTCAGTAAAAATTGTTAAATACGAAGAAAATATAAAACACCAAATACAGTTAATTTTTTTTTTTTTCAATTAAAATTAGAATTTCAAATCCAAAGCAAGCAATTCCGCCAAAGTGCAAAAAGACATCATTTTCGATGCACAAAAAAATTAATGTTAATTTTTGATTCCACGTGGCAAACGTATGCTACAGTTGATGCACCAAATGACTTCATTTACTATACTATACTACCAACAGTTTCAAATGTAAACAAATAGCCGCCACATTAGGCCTAGCGTGCTTTACACTCTTAAATTTCTGATAATTCTACAGCTATTGCATCCTATTACTAAACACATAAAAGATTTAACCAGAACATAAGAACAACATAATGCAATTACTTTTAAAGCAAGAACTCAAGAATTTACCATTATATAAGAATGAAAAACAGAACTCACCGAGCCAGGTAAGAGAGTAGATAGATGTTATATGTACGTTTGATGCGGCCAATTGCGACAACTTGATGTCAAAGCCCTCCCATATACAAAATTTCAACTCCTATCTACATTCTATTTCTTTATGCACAAGAATTTTACAGCTAATATTTATATTTAATTACAGCTAATATTTTACAGCTAATATTTTTACAGCTAATATTTGAATTATGCAAGATACATACGTACGTGCAAATGTCCCAAAAAATTCCCTTCTGAACCTATTTTGAATCTGAATCTTCTGAATCTATTTTTGCAATCGTTTTTGGAAAAAAGGTTCCTTTATTCTGCCCATACTTACAGATGTCATGCAAAAAAAAAATATCGTTTAAAGAGATTCGTGAATTGTCAAAATGGATGTTTTCGCTGAAATATGATACCTGACATTTTTCGCGATTACAATACTTTCTTCACTTCATACAAAGAAGTAAAAGTTAACGCATTCCACAATAATTAAGAATTTCTAATAAAGCTTTTAAGCAAATTTTCGAATCTTTATGGCTTGCATAAATTTCATAAAACTCCAATTAAATTCAGATTTAGTGCAAAAGATACCGAAAATTAAAAAGAACATACATTTTGTTTTTTACAATGCCCATACTTACAAATTAGTGCTTGACCACGACTAGATTACTAAAAATAAGAAAAAAATATCAAAATAATTAAAAAATTTTACATTAATTATGTGCTTTTGAAAATTTTTACACAAGAAATTTGTTTACGTTCCTGTGTTAGAATGGCGCCGAAATAGATGACGTAGTTTCGATTTTAAATATCCTTAATAAATTCAACGACTCTCGGTCTATTTAAAAAAAAAAACATACATTTAATAATAAACATTATACGTAAACATCTGTTATATTCAGCAGTACAGATAAGCTTTAAAATAAGATTACAGCAGTTACAGGTCAGCTACGCTTTTAGCGACCGAATTCTACGAACGACAAATCTCAAAAGCTTGTTGCCAACGCAGGGCAACGAAAAGGTGGAAATTAATTCGATAGGCGTGTTAGTGAAAAAAATTAATAATAAGCTTTTCAAATTTTTCGAATTATTTCCATCAATCAATATCATCCTTAATTTCGAAAAATGGATTACGTAACTTGGATGTTTACATTTCCATAATTTTCTCAAATTGAAATATAAAATGTTTCTGCAATCAAGGCATTCCATGACACCATATTTACTTCTATCTGCATCTATTTATACTCATATATTCGATTTAAGAAAAATTGTGTCAAAGATAAATTTATCTTACTTTTAGTACTTTGATGAGATTTCACTTGAGTATAGGGAATATAAGCAGCTAATATTCCAATGTTATATTTTAAAATAATAAATCTGTTCAATACGAAAACTCTTAACTTAAATTCTATGTAAGAATTAGGCTACAAACTAAAATACTTTTAAAAAATGTAAAAAAGACTTTAAATTTTTACTATTGATTATACTTGAAATAAAGATTTCTAAATTTGCTAACTCAGTATCACCAATTTTTCAGAATTAAACATGGCACACGTTAAATATACTAATCAAAATTCAGTATCTATAAAACACATTAATGACAAGTTCTATTCTACTCTCCACCCCACATATTACTACTTCCTTTTTTACATGCAAAACGTTTTTAACTTTTTTATCTTTGTCGCAACAATTTACTTCTGTATTTAATATTTTTTAATAATTTTTATATATTGGCAATGTTTTTAGTTATCAATTTTTAAAAAATTCTGCTGGTTTTTAAGAATTCATTAATTTATACAAATATTATTCCTACTAATTTTTTACCTTTGTATATAACAAAACGAAATTTACTCCCTTCCAGTTTTATACTATGTTTACATCCATAACCCACACAAATTTTTTTTAATAGAATTCTCAGCAGCCATGACCCACTCAATTTGATATTTTTCTTAAACGGATTCTCAGCAGTTACACATATTGCTATGTGGACGTTGCATTTCATTCAAGTTGGATTTCTTTTTAATTTCTCTTTAAATTAATTTACTTGAATTAATATATTCGCTTTAATTAGATAATAATTTTAGAAATTTTTAGGCAATTAATAAACTTAAAAGGAAATTTTCCCAATTGCCTTTTTAATTTTTCTTTTATTTATTTTACCATTTTTAGCTTGTCTTCCATTTTTATATGGTATTTTGTATTCCTCAAACTAATAATTCTCTGCATTTTTTTAGCTTTTAGTTATCCAAGGCTTTTTTGGTTTCTTACTCCTGTGTCTTCTTTTAATGTTTATTAATAAATTTAATTCTTTAAATAATATTTCTCAAATATTTATGAGTATATTAGTAAATTATGATATTAATTAAATGAAACATTTGTTGCGTGCGTCCGGGTTCGTTATGAATGAATGCACAAGTCCGATGAAAAATGACAAAATTTATTATTATCACAAAAAAATGCTTAATTTTCTTTTCATGCTATTACAATATCCAGTAGTTTTCTTTTAACTACTCAATGCCAATAGACGCTAATCAACGCTAAAGAACGCTAATCCGCGAATCGCTACAATAACAACATTTTTCTAAACACAAACTAACACTACTACAAACTGGTGTTTTCCTCAATAAATTTAAAATCACGCGCTAGAATTTCAGTACTTCTCGAAATCAAAGAGATATTTATTTAAATGCGCTCTGTATTTTCAATTTCCCTTAGCTTTTTTTAATATCGTCACGCTGCACTGCGCGAGAAATAAACCATAATTATAATTGAACTAACATTAGCTTTTTAAATACCAAATTTGTAACACTATATTGAAAAGTTTTTACTTTGTCGCATACTTTTAAAGCATTTTGATTATTTTAATTAAATATTCTTAATTGGTATCTTCTTTTAATTTTTCTTTTGAATTTTAAGAATTCACAGTTATCTAGATATAATTCAGAAAGGTTTTTGAAAATTCTTCGGCTGCTCCTTGATAAAGGACAAGGGATTTTCAACAGTTTTATTTAATTTACGTTAATTTTATTAAGTTTAAATAATAATTATTAAGTTTTATTAAGTTTTATTTAATTTACGTTAATTTTATTACGTTTAAAATAGTGGTGGAATAGTTTGTGGAATTGTTTTTATTTCAGTTTTGAATAGTTAACTTGATTTTTGGTATTCCTATTGGAAAGTTGATCCGTCTTTTATGATCCTATTTTGATTTAATTTTTACCTCTTGATTATTCAATTAATCTGCAATTTTCTCAAATTTTGATTATATATGTGTGTGTCTGTGCTAGATGATTTTGATTACAGAGATATGCTATGCCATGCTAGATGTCGATGATTAATACTGACATCAATCTCTAAATTGTATTTCCTTATCATCCGCTTCTGTATAACATAAACTCTTTCATATTTCTGTTAAGATAAATTTTACAAATTACGAATTGACTCAGAAAATGATTTATGAAGCTATTAATTTAGTAAAAGATATAATTAGTGAAATTAATTGTCAAAAGACAATGCAGGCATTTATATGAGGAAACTATATCAAAACATATATCACACAGTAAACATTTATCATAATAACATGGCTTTTTGATGAAGCTCAACTTACATTTAAAACTGAGCTATGTGTACGCTGACCATAAAGCGGATAATGATGTGATTATATGACTGATCAGATGGCACTATCTCACACCACATGTTGCCACTGTATATATGTGCATGCATTAGACGCCACACAAACATCTTCATACATTACTAAAAGGAAATAGAGAACATGTACCTACAGTTGACACTGAGCTGTATACGCTTGCTTGCTGGCGGATGCACTCCATTAGTCGCCATACATAAGTAAGCTCCCATATCCAGTCTGCTTACTTTTGTGAGATTAAGTGAATTCCCATGAATGATATTCTCTAAAAAAATGAAGGTATAAAATGAATCTTTTGAAATGCAAAGATTCAATCACATTATGACGTGTCAAATAAAATGAGTTTATGTAACTACATGGAAAGATGGCTATAAAAAATATCTGAAAAATTTAAATTTTCAACGGTCGCCCAAGAGTACTTTTAACGCTTTCTACGCTCTCGCTGAGCTCGCAGTATAGCAGTCTGCTATTACACTCATTCGTTAAATCACTCTTTTGTTGATTCCAATACAGTGCTTTCGAACATTTCAAAACTTTTAATATCTTAATCGTGCGTATTTCATTACTATATTCCAAGAAATATGGCGCTGCCTTTTTGTTCACCCGTCGTTTCTAATATAATAACCGTCACGGTTCCTCTCATCTTCGCATTAATCCCTGCAAGACTTCAGTCTTATATGCAGCTCCTTCCAGAAGATCAGTATGAAATCAGGAATGAGCTCTGAACACCGAAGCAGTTATTAAGAGTGGTGGAATTCATCGGAACTGCTTCACAAGTGTTCGACTGCGTTTCTTATGCTAAACGGAACGAACGCTTTTTACCGCGTATGTCGTTAGGGGCTATCTTCAAGTTATTTGAAGTCGAGTTCTCAATACAAATTGTACTCCCCCCAAACTCCTGTCTCAAACAGACATATATAACAGTGAATTGCTGGAATATCTACTTTCTATATAAATAAATTAATGCTGGAGTTCCACAGGTCACATGCCTCGGTCCAGTTATTTAACTATTCTACGTGGTTGATTTTCCGAGAGAAATACTCAATTATAACTCAATGGTGGCAAGATATGCAGATGGCACCGCAGTTGGCGGATAGTTCAATACTATAGAGTAAAGCAATTAGGCAATTACCGTATTGCAGGACTTTGTGCTTAGCATTGAAAAGTGGTTCTGACGCTGCAGAATATCAATTAATACTTCCAAATCAGAGCTGATAGTTGTACTCCGGAAGAGAACGCAGAATATGGAATTTGCGACTATAACTTTGGATCGCAAGTGTCAGTTGCTTGGGGGTTCACATGAACCAGAGGCGCATTTCTAACACCTATATCAAGAATGCAGCTGCAAAGCCCAACACTTCTCCGGTTAGTTTCACACGCTTCTGGGAAAGAATTCAAGACTTGGTTCTCTTTCGTTAGAGACAGATTTGTATTTCCATAATCAGACCGATAATACGCTGTGTGTCACCGGCTTGGGCTGCAGTTGCAAAGACCGACCTATGCAAGCTTCATGGAGTGCAGAATGAAACATTCAGAACTATTGGAGGACAATTTTACGTTAGGAAAAAACTGTTACATCAGTATTTCTGATTGGATTCTATCTGCGAATAACTCAGGAAGTGCAACGAAAAAGTTTTCAGTAAAGAAGTCAGCAGATATATGAGCAACGTCTCAGCCTTATTATATCGCGAAGCCCTCCCTTGGAGACTTAAATATCAAACCATGTGCAGCTCACAACCTCAGAGACAAATTTCGTCATCCAATTGCTAATTTTCGAATTTGGCTTTCCTTATGCAAATATGATTGATTTCTATTACTTACTGCAACACTAACTGTATTTCTGCATCCTGCATGTATATACTGTAGGTAATGTATTATTGTATACATTGACATTTCTATTTCGCGCATTTTAATTGCGAAGTTCAAAGATTTAGATATGCAAATCAGTTGCATTTTATGTTTTTCCGGGAAAGCGTGTTACCTGATGTTATTAATTTTGTTGATTGTCGCCATCTACAAGGCACAGCCGTCCCACATTTGCCCACATTCTTCCAGTTTCCTCAGGGCGCGCATTTGAAAGTTATGACGTGCCCCCAGGCGCCACTGCTTAAACATATGAACACGGATTGTTTCTGCAATATGAACATAATCATTCGAATATCAGAATATACCTTTCTTTTCAGAATTATATTGCGCCTGAAGAGCAGAGACTTGTGCCTTATCGTCCTCTAATCGACAGAGTTTTATTAAAAATCTGCGGCAAAATAAAATCGTTTCTTTCTGCCTAATTTCAGGTGTTACATTGGAGTGTTTGTTACCTTTCCTGTTTGATCAAGTACATTGCTTCCGAATTTTACGTATAAAAATGTTTTATATAACATAAAATTTATTAATTTGCAGTTTTGTATTTAATGTAAGCGAAATTGTATTTAATGTAAGCGAAAAAAATTCTCCAGTCTCATTTTGTCTTATGCCCAAACAAAAATTTGCAATTAAACAGTACTTTTTTTTTGTAAGCAGATGATATTTTCATAAAAGTATAGTTGAGATTTGTAAGTAATCATTGCCACCGTTGAATTATAATGGCTTTATAAATTCAGCCTTAAAATTTATTATACGCAGTACTTGTATCAGATAACAGGTAACAGAGTAGTATGTCTCTTCATATAATTATTAGGGAGCTAGAAATGGAAGGTCCTAATAGATATTAAACAAGTAGTCATTTATTTTGCTATCATTGGGAAAAAAAAGTTTTCTTTTAAAACTTAATGCGACGAAAATACAAACTTTCAAAATATGTTATTTTTTTCACTGAGGAACCAACCTCTGTCTTTCCCCACAGGTATGTCAACCTCATCCTCTCTTCGCCACTTGATGTCAGGATTTGGTGCTCCCTTGGCGATGCACTTGAGAGTCACATCACTTCCCTCCCGTACTTGCATGTCCGAACTTGTTTGTTCCTCGTCGATCGAAGGTGGAACTGTTGAGGGAAAGAAAAGAGCAAAACAAACACAGGGATAAAATCGTTTTGTTACGGAGAGTCTCTTGGGTTCTAAATTATTTCTTTATAAGATTTATACAGTGGGATTTGGTTGTAAAAGCAAACAAATAATTTTCTCTGCAGATAATCACAAAATAAGCAATACAATCACACTGAAAGCGATTTGATGACCTTTAGTACGTTTTTACGAAATAAGTCACATATAGATTGTGCAGGAAAACCTTTTTCACACAGTGATGTAATAAACGTTGTTAAGAAAATTTATTACATTTAAACATTAAAATATGTTTAAGATATTTACTCTTTCTTAGACGCTCATTATTTTTTACATACGCGTATGAAACTTTAGAATATGAGATTTTAAATATATGAAGTTTAATATCTTATGTATCACGTATAGCGCAATCGTATTATTCTATATTACTATGGTGAAATTTACTTATACTTAAAATGATAAAACAAGTAATTTGTACTGCACAAATATAAACCTGATTATAATCTACTAGGATTTACGAAACATTTATCTAGAATTATTTCATTAATGAAGATTATGCTTAAGAATGATATTTCAGTGAAACTGCGTTATATCAGCGGTATCAAGTTATCAGCTCGCGGACTGCATGCGACTTCCGAAGTAAATTTTACAGCCTGCCAACAGATGTCCCGTAAAATAATTAACATTATTATTTCAAGAATATGAAGAAAAAGTTTAAGATTTAATAGTTTGGAGTCCAGTTTTACATAATTTTCATGACCAAAAACGAGCGTGAGTAGTTTTTTGGAAATCTAGAAATGTATCTAATTAATTTACACTGTGATTTAAATCTTATTAAAAATTTTGAAGATATAAATTTGATTAACTTTTATGAATAGCGAAAAGAAACATTTCCTCATTTGCGAGTTTTTCTAGTAATAATTGCTTTGTTTGGGAGTTTTTTTACACGGAAACATTTTTTCGTAAATAAAAATTAAGAAGACTACGAAAAGAACCAGAATGCCGATGATTATTTACAATTTGGGGTGAAGATACATTTTAGTAATTTCGTTCCAAGATTAAAACCTTTAAGTAAATAGAAACGCCATGAGATGTTTTAACTGAAAAGTATAATAAGAAATATATATGTTTATATTTATTTACATACAAATATTCTCCTTCGTATGTGTCATAGAAAAATGTAAAAGATAATAGAAAGGTAATAGGTTTCATTATTTATTCTTAAATTTTGTCTCTCGTGGGAAGTTTTCATTTATCTCTTTTTAGTTTAAATTATTTAGTGATTACTTCAATATTTTACAATTATTTGAATAAATGTTAATCTGAAATTTTAACATTAAGATGTTAATGCGTTTGAATTACAAATTGTGACCAACAGAAATTTCTTGCAGATACGAAATTTAGATTTCAGACATGAAATGCATATACATTTGGATTTGTTTTGCCTTATTTTGATATATGTATATATTTTGACAAATACGAAGTAACAATTTTTAAATTCACTCAACAATGTTTGTTTCGTTGAAAATTTTCTTTCTTTCTGTTTTTGATTGCGGCCCATCAGCTACTTTCGGATCATGCAGTTGGCCCACATGCAATTTGAGTTTGAGGCCTACACAGTCAACAGCAGAAAACAAATTATTTCATTATAAAAATATTACACTTTATACTGGCTAATATATTACATCAAGCTCTTAGTTAAAATAAATTAAGCTATTGATTAAGAAAATATAAAAGCATAAATATTCTTTATTTTATTTACTTTAAAATTGATGGCTTGTAATACGCTCAATTATTATCAGTCACAGTTTCTATGCAATACGGATTTTAAGAAAATCGTAATTCTAATTTTTTTCCGACTCACTTGGGCATGTTAATTCTTAAAAGAAAAAAATAATTTTGGCATCTTTAAAGTTGTAAATAAATCAACAGATGAAGCAAAAGGTGTCAGTAATTTAAATTCTGAAAAATCGAACAGAAGATAAAATTCTTGAGCAATGCAGCCATGTGATTCATATGTACATGTAATATATGCTTGTGATTACATACATAAAATAAAAACATGTGATATGCTGGTCCGATAAGAGAGGACGACAATTAATTCAACAGCCATAAAACGAATGGTGATACCGTTACAATGTATAATGACGCATCACCTGTAGCCAAGATCAAATATTTCAGTTTTATTCTGAACAAGAACAATTCTTTAATAACACGTTTTTTCTTAACTGCTATAACACTAGGGTGCTAAATCGGCCTCACAATTTTATGTACGCAGTTACATTTTAGAACAGTAGATGAAAAGTCGAAGAACTTCGAACAAATCATAACAGAGGAGAAAGTATCAAGCCATGTATTAAGTAAAATGTGTAATAAGCCAGCAGGTTCTATAAATAAGCTCGGTTCCTTCGTCTTAATCCTGCACAGCGATTGGAGAAAAGCTTTCGCAATGCGGAATACTGCAGGGAAAGAACGATGTCAGTGCAAATGCCATGAAGGAGGTTGTATTTAAATTGAAATTAGGAATTTAAAAGGCTGTTGCCAATTAGGTTAATAATTTGTTAACAATTTTTCTTCATATTTTTATATCTAATATATATATATACGTATTTCTAGCTGAAAAGGTAATTTAACTAGAAAGCGTATTCAGCCTGTAATTATATTTTTGTAAACATTTAGTTAAGTACGCATATTAGACTATACGAAACAACACGAAAACAATAGTCAGGTTTAGTGAGAGATCTATCAGTTCTTACGTATCAGGTTGAACAAAACTGAAAAACATTACACTATCCAAAAAATGAGTTTAAACTTTATTTTAAATATCAGGATAAATATATTTTTTCTCATTTATGAAAGTTCTTTTCTGAAAGTCACTCTTTTCGTAACACCCCTACTTGTCTAATGCTCTTTTCCGCTCTGAATAGGTTATAACTACACTTTTTTGAAAGTTTTGCGGAATGTTTTTGAGAGTTGCGGTTTTGCGATTTACGTATAATTTCTTCAATCAATGCGCTATACGTAACATGTATGCCGAGTTCAGAATTTATGCCGAACCTCATGTAACTAATGAAACCTTTGTTTAGTAGTATACTGCTTAAATATAGTTCATATATTAACAAACGATGACTGGGAAGATAATGTTTTGGAGATAATCCGCCAGAGAATGTAAATAAATCGTAAAAGCTTGAAAAGAAGAGAAAGAATGATAGACAGTTAAATAAACAACCTAGTCATGAAACAATGTTCTGTAAAATTAAAAAGTCTTAATTCGATTCGTGTAAAACCTTTATGTGCGTAAACACCAGATATTAATTAAAGTATCTGATAATTTTGAAATACATTCATTACTATAAAAATTTGCACACTGAGAACTAATCGCCGGATAGTAATGAAACTTGGCACGAAGCTACATGTCAGGCAGAGATATACGAATGAGTAGAGATGCTACTTGTGTAGTGTCACCATAGAGTGCTTAATGTCGTGTTTTTAGCAAATAAAAAAGTCTCCAGAGGCATTTTGCCTATACTATATCAATTGCAGAAATACGCATTTTCACTACAGATAACGCCATACCTTCATAAAACACAATTTGATCAGTTGTCAGAATTAGATTAGAACCAGGTTTTCTTCACCGATGAATCGAAATTGAATTTTGGGCAGAGATAACAGCCATCTACGGGTCTGGATGCTCCGTGGTGAGCGCGTCAATCCTGCCTTCGCTTTATAGTGGCACACCGCTCCGACAGCTGGTTGGTTGGTATGAGATCTTCATACAGTAAATCCCTAGCCTATACGGAAAATTGTATATCGCCCAAAGCAAGCGAGATAAGTCACAACAACAACGCACAAGTAAATAAGTCAACAACAACACACATGTTAATAAGTCAACTACAACACACATGTTAATAAGTTAACTACAACACACAAGTAAATAAGTCATCAGATATAATTTCCCAGAAACTCTCTGCAAGAAATAATTGCATTTATTAAATGATTATAAAATTACAGGTTTTAAAAACAAAACCTATATACAAATATTTCTTCTGAACAGAATAAGTAATTTTAACTATATTCATTAATTTCTGTTAAAAATACACTAGTCGTATATGCTTAAATAATTAATACGAATCAGCCTGCTTCTTATTATATATTTCATAATCCCTTAATCATGGTAGGAAGAAAATATGATGTGTGATATTTAAAATGTATACTCAGTCTCATATGGAATAATTTCTAATTGCATCTAACAGAGCCAGACGCAGTATAGTATGAAAAATAAGTATAACTTTTAAAATTTGATAACTTGAGTGCTTTATTTCTTCAGTAGATAGAGTGTTTAATTATTAATTAATTTACTGAAATTGTGCAAGCATATTTTCTGTATGAAGTTACAGTTTCGATTGCGAGTTTTGCAATTATTGGTTAGTTTATTTCATAATTTATCGAGTTTAAACGAAAAATTCCCTCGACACAAATATCGTCTGCGTAAACAGTTCGCGTCGGCGTGTTTAATTATATTTTATTAAGCTATTCTTGGAGAAAGAGATTTGCTTTAGAACACTGTGTTGTGAAACTTGTAAAAAAAAATATCGTAATCATTAAGTACAATGTGTCTGAAATTTAACTATCACAGATTAGAATCATCATTTACTTCCAGTTTTATTGAAAAAAGTCAGCTACGGTACATGAACAAATAATGTGTACAGCTTTAGGTACTAATGTTGGATCATGTGACACTGTGAAATTTTGGTACCGAAAGTTCATAAACAAGGACAACATTCAAGAAGCAGAGCCCTTTGGCCAGCCTACTGACGTTGATGAAGCCTTCCTGCGAGAACTTGTGGAAGAAGATAAGTATGCGAACACTCGAAACCTTTATTAGGAGTTAGACGGTAGTGCAATGTCCATTAGTCGCTTTATGCATCGCATAAACGTGACGTACAAGTTCAATCGCTGGGTGTGCATGATCTGACTCAAGTAG